GGGTGCTGGGACCTACCGGGTGTCCCCCTCTGGCAGCACGACGGGTTTGTGGTCCAGGAACCGCTCAGCCTCGAGGTCCACAGGAACAAACATTATCTGAAGGGAAAAGAAACGCAGAGCGCAGGGGGTTGCACTGGGCATCACGGGGACCCTCGGCCCTCATTAGTGGTCAGAAGTCCGGGGTGACCCTTCAGCTGGATTTTCAGTCTTTTCCCAACACATTCGGATGTCTTGCTTGGAAGTGGTTTTTTGGGGGGGAGATCAATAAGGGATTGAATGAACTCAGTGCTACCTCACTCTCAGCACGTTGTCCCCAGCGGGGGTCATGCATGTCCCTGAGCCCAGGGGGGTCCCAGTGCCCACGGGGGAGGTCAGTGGCCAAGGACAACACCGAGTGTGCCCTGTCCTTGAGCCTCTGAGCATAGTGACAAAGCCACATCTGCCTCCTCGCCAGGGCTGAGCTCAGCTTTGGGGGGAACAGGGGTCAGCTTCACCCTGGTCCCAGGGGACTCAGACAGTCCCAGGGTCTCAGCTGCTCCCGGGTCCTGGGGTCCTATGCACCACCCCACGTTTCAGGGTGCAGCCAAGCTGTTGATGGGCCGTCCTGCGGCACTGAGATCAGCCTCACAGCCACCCTCTCCTTGGGAAAAAAACCTTTTCTGCCAGCTCTGTTTCCCGGGGCAGGGACGCGTGGCTGCCCTGCCGTGCCGGCGGTGCCCTCTGCCAAGGAGACCAGCAGGTGAGGGCTGTGCTCAGGGGGGCCGGGCCCCTCTGGACCTCCATGGCCATGACAGCCCCTTCTTCTGAAGTCCTGGGAGGCTGCCAAGCCCCCAGACCCCGCAGGTGCAGGGAAGGGGCTGGTTTGGGGGGGTTTTGCATGGGAGAGGTGAACACGGGCTGAGTTCCTTGAGCTTATTCCCCACCACCTGCTTGGCAAAGCCCCAGGCTCGGGGAGGTGCAGGGACACAGGGGGGCGAGGGAGCGGGGCTGCACCCTGCAGCCATCGGTGGGAGGTGTAGCAGGGTGAGAGTCCCCCAAACCAACACCTCCCCCTCCGGATCACTCCAGCTGGCTTTCCCCCAGGACCTGCCACTACCCCACCCTATGGATGGGGAAACTGAGGCACAGCCCAAGGCTACACGTCTGCAGTAGTGAAGTGGGATGAGGAGTTGAAGCCACCCAAACCCAGATGAGCCCTCGAGTCCCCTGAGGAGCGCGTCGGCCGAACGGACCCTACCTTTGGGTAGCACTGGCACATGCTCCAGGTGATGCCCACAGCTACGAGCAAGACGCCCAGGGCGCAGAAGGTAATGTAGATCTGGGGCTTTTCCACGCTCATGATGAAGAGTCCCGTCATCACCAGGAAGAAACCCAGCATGATGAACCCATAGCGAAAGGTCTTCTCCTCAGCCATGGGCACCAGGTGGGAGAGGCAGGGGAGGAGAGATGCCAGGAAGCCCGTTTACCTGTGGCTGCTGCCCGCTGAGCACACCTCCGGGGTAAGGCAAGGAGTGGTTTCTTTCTCTGGAGGCTGCCAGGGGCTGAGGATCAGCTGCACGTTGAGCCTGGTCCTGCCCAGGGCTGAGCCAGCCAGTTTTTAATGGGTTTGTAATGAATGCAAACACCAACCCGCCGTTCACACTCCAGTGAAGCCACCCGGCACGTGTCCGGGTAACCTTCCCTGCAGGCACGCGTGGCCGGACCCCACGCCTGGGGAAGGGACGGGGAGGGAGAGGGGGCACGGCAGCAGAGACGGGGACCTGGAGAGCAGCTGATCCTGATGGGATTTTCCCAGCCCTGGGGGCTAGAGCTGGACTTGGCCGTAAATCGGAGCTGGCAGAGCCCCAAAATAAGGGGAACGCCAGGGCGCAGCATGTTTTCAAGGGCTGCAGGGCTGCAGCAGGGGAGGAGGGAGTGCTCCAGGGTCTTTTTGGAGGCTGGTGGATTGGGAATAGCCCCTGCCTCACTCCAGCTGTGTGCTGGGGAACCATCAGTGTGGCTGCCTCAGTGGAGCAGCAACCAGGCTGCAAATGAGGGGCTAAGGCCAGGGAAGGTCTGTAGGGGGCCCAGGACAGCCCATTTCGGTGGGATGGAGCAACTGGCAGCAGCCCCCAATGGAAGTCGGCATTTCCTCTGGGCAAGGCTGCAAACCCCTCCGTGGTGGGCAGGGAGGGGCGTGAGCTGCTCAGGGTGTCTTTTTATAGGACACTGCCTGAAATACCAAGTGCACTTGGATGCCCTGAACACATGCATGAGCCACTGAACATCTCTAAACCAAATGAAGTGAGGCATGGGAGTCAGTACGGAGGGAAAGCAAGGTGGAAGGGATGGAGATATGGCTGGAAGGGGCATTGAAAAGGCAGAGAAGCAAACAGGGCGGCACGCAGCTGGTTTTCCTATGGGCAGAGTCCTCGCGTTCTTTGCGGCAGTTTTTATTGTATAGCTCTTGCTTTGAGTGGGCAGCCCCTGGCCTGATACGACCTCTCCAGAGTTGGTCAGAGCAGGGAAAAGTATCTGCAATCAGCAGTGGTTTTATTAAAAATACAAAGGCTTTCAAACATGCCAGTTACCCCCGCCGCTCTGAACGCATCACCCCCAGGACCCGCAATCCCGACAGCCCTGGACCGATTGCTCAGAAAGCTGGATGGATCCCGCCGCCTTCCCCCTCCTCGCCCACCCTCCTCTCGCCCCAGCAACGGAAGGAGCTCGGTTTAAAGCCAAGGGACCCGGCAGCCACCTGCAG